CTGTGTCTTTAAAAAGAAACCCCCATAAACACACAAACCCAAACACTTCAAATGTTTTTTTTTTCCTTTAAATAATAAGTGAGCGCAGTCGAAACCTCTGCGGAAAGAAATGCAAACTAATAAATGGATTTGTTTGAAGACCAGATGTGTTTCATGTGGATTCTGCAGTGGCTTCTGTGGTATTTTGGTACTTGGAATAATGATTTTGGAGGGGGATATGGGAGTGGAAGGACAAAATAGGAGAGTGAAGGTTGAAAATGAAGCTTTGGTGCTGCAGCATTTGGGAGGGAAGCAGCTCCCGGTGGCTCTCCCCCTTGTCCCGTGTTTTGGCTTTGCCTCTACCAGAGGGAAGTTGGTTTGTGGATGTTTTGTTGCTCTTTCAGCTCTGGTGGTACTGGTCATGGTTTTCAGGTGAAAGGATAAACTGAGGCTTGTAGGACAGTCCCTCGAGCATGATGGTTTTATGGATTGACGTGGCTCTAATGGGATAAAAGTGGTTTCTGGAGCTGGGGCAGGACCTTACTGTGATTGCCAAGTTTGATATCTCCTGGTTTTAAATCCGTCTGAGCTCAGTGCTTGGCACTGAGTTGTATCCATAGCAGCATATCAAACACTTGAATCCCATTCGGCCTTTGCAGGAGCATGTTGGAGGAGCAGTGAGTTTGAGCACTCTCCCTCTGTGTTTATCCATGAATCCATCTCTGTTCTGCAGAGCATTCTGGGGGTGGATTCCCATAGCTCATGGTCAAATGAACCTTTTGCTTCTGTGATGATGATGGGTTAGTATAAAACCACACTGATGTGTGATTCTGGGGGTCTCTCTCATGGGGGAATTGCTGATACAAATGTTTGCTGAGGCCACATTGCTCACAAGGGGCCGAACACTGGAGGCAGAGGAAAACCCTGCTTGGTGCAGTGGAATGTGTGTATCTCGAGGTCCACCTCCTTTTTGTTTAAAGGTTAAATAGTTTGGCTCTAACAATTGATTTAACAGTTCAACTCCATTTTCACAGCTTTATGCACCTATTACAGGGCCAAAATCTCAGTTACACGCCGGGGGGGGGGGGCTATATTTATAATACCACACCTATTTTTCTAATGTGCATTCACTCTGATAACACTTGGTATTTATTTTCCAAGGTACTTCAGTTTGCTGGTTGGGTTTCAACCTGAGCTTTTTCTCTTGGCAGTGAAACCCTGTTTTATGGGGCTGCCTAAAGGGGCTCCAGGAAACCTGGAGAGGGGCTTTGGACAAGGGCCTGTAGGGACAGATCAAGGGGAATGGCTTTAACCTGCCCAAGGGGAGACTGAGATGAGCTCTTAGGCAGAAGCTCTTCCCTGTGAGGGTGCTGAGGCGCTGGCACAGGGTGCCCAGAGAAGCTGTGGCTGCCCCATCCCTGGCAGTGTTCAAGGCCAGGTTGGACACAGGGGCTTGGAGCAAGCTGCTCTAGTGGAAGGTGTCCCTGCCTGTGGCAGGGGTTGGAGCTGATGAGCTTTAAGGTCCCTTCGAACCCAAACCATTTTGATTCTATTCAAGCAGCAGCACCGATAACCCTGGTTTTCTTCTGCCCCACCTGCAGGTGCTTCACCAAAGCCAACGGCACTTTCAGCAGCAGCGCGCTCCCCGTCGTGCCCATCGTAGCACCTTACCAGCAGGATGGTTTGGAGATGAAACCTCTCAATCACCATGTCATGGTGGCCATGTGCTTGGCCTCCACCCTCCCCGAGTGCAGTGCCCGGCTGGAGGAGGACAGCAAGGAGAGAGCAGAGCAGCCCTCCCCTCAGCATCCCTGCTGCAGAGACAGCAGCAGCCACCTCTCCGTGGATTGCACGGATGGTAAGGCATTCCCAGGGGGATAGCGCCAGGCTTTGAAGTGGGAATATGCTGTAGGAGAGCTATAGGGAGCCTAATTTAGTGCAGAGAAGCTGGTAATTAAGCTCTTTTGGAGAAAGATTAAGTGTTCCACCTTTCCCATCATGGAAAATGGGAGCAGTGATGCTCAGGTGCCTGTGGCTGGGGTTGATGCATCTAAATGGAACTGACATGCTCTGGATAATGAGGCTGCGACTGATTGATGGGAGGATTGAGATGAGCTCTTAGGCAGAAGCTCTTCCCTGTGAGGGTGCTGAGGCGCTGGCACAGGGTGCCCAGAGAAGCTGTGGTTGCCCCATCCCTGGCAGTGTTCAAGGGCAGGTTGGACACAGGGGCTTGGAGCAACCTGCTCCAGTGGGAGGTGTCCCTGCCTGTGGCAGGGGTTGGAGCTGGATGAGCTTTAATGTCCCTTCCAACCTAAACTGTTCCATGATTTTATAATGGAGTTTTCCCCAGTGAGCAGACATCTGTGACAGCCCAGAGCCACCCCAACCCACCCTCCTCTTGCTTCACAGGTGACAACTGCGTGCACTCTGAAACATCGAACCACGTTCTGAGCTGGAGTCCCCTTATCCTGCAGCCTCTTTCCAAGGACTGTAAGGAGAAACCAGGATGGAGTTCATCTGGAGTCACCTTAAACAGTTCTGGGGACCTCCGGCAGCTCCAGCTGCAGGAAACCTGAGGAAGTGACCACCGCTGTCCCCATTAAGGCCAGGAACTGCAGAGCAGCGTCGCTGAAAGGGAGTGATGGGGGATGTTAATGATAACAGAGAGAGTCACTATTTATTTTTTGTAGTAGTGCCATATGAATGTATCTTGGTTTTACAAAATGGGTGCCTTTTTACCTTATTTATGCCTTGAAATCCCTGTTTTCGGGGGGATTTTTGACACTAGCCTGGGTCTGTGTATAAACAAAGGAGTTGTAATAATATAAAGAACAACGATGGGAAATCCAGATCGTGGCTTCCAGGGAGTGTTCCCAGCATGAGAAGTGATCCTAAGGAGGCTGACACGGGGATTTAGCCAAGTGGGTCTAAGGCTTCCTCCCTGTGCTCAAACCCTCCTTTCCATGAACTCCTCATGTGCTCCTTTGGGAAGAATCCAGTGGATCAGGAAGAAGATAAATAGGAAAAGTGACCCTTGGCTGCGTCCGTGGAGGCAGAGCTCACTCTGGTGACCACTTGTGCCTTTTGGAGCTTGGTAACCCTGCTGTGTGCAGGAGTGCGGATGAAACCCAGCCCGTCTCACCTTCCCGCTTGCAGAAGACAAAATCCAGCTCGGCTGCACCTTTAACTCCTTGGATTGAGGGAACAGCGACGGCTTGAACAGGCTCTGCCGTGAACGGAGTCGTGTCGGAGCAGCTCCCACCGCGCTGCGAGAGCCCTGCCCGCCCCTCGGATCCAGCATGAGGTAGGTGTTGACACGTTAACTGCAGGACTTGGGCTGGGTTCTCTTTCCCTTCCCAAATTGAATGAGGGTAAATAAAGCAAAGCACAGAGCCCTGGGATGAGGGGCATAAATCATGGTTACAGCCGCCCCGAGGCAACACGTGTAGCCGCCTGTTCCCCACCAGTATTCCCAGCCCGGGCTGGGAAGGGAGGAAGTGATGCTGGGCTGGCTGGAGCTGCAGAGCCCTCGGGGAGCCGAGGTACAGGTGCAGAGAGTGGGGTTTGAGGAGCAATTCCTGCTCCAGGAGGACACTTCTCCAGTCTCTCTGGGGGATGTTGGGAGTGTTGAGCTGGGGGTTCTTTTCCTGTTGTTGTAGTATTGTTCTAATTAATGGGATAATATGGAATGTGATGGCACCGGAGCTGGTGCAGGGCCTGGAGCACAAGTGTGATGGGGAACGGCTGAGGGACCTGGGGGGTTCAGTCTGGAGGGGGGACTCAGTCTGGACTCAGGGGGGACCTGATTGCTCCCTACAACTGCCTGAGAGGAGGATGGGCCAGGAGGGGCTGGGCTCTGCTCCCAAGGAACAAGGGATGGGATAAGAGGAAAAGGCCTCAAGCTGCACCAGGGCAGGTTTAGATGGAGCCGAGGAACAATTCCTGCCCCAAAGAGTGCTCAGGCATCGGAACAGGCTGCCCAGGGCAGGGCTGCAGCCACCGTTCCTGGAGGTGTTTAGAGGATGTGTAGATATAGCACTCGGGGACATGCTTTAGTGGTGGCCTTGGCAGAGCTGGGTTAATGTTGGACTTGAACTTGAACATCGTTCCCAACCTAAACAGTTCCATGATTCTATTTATAAGTGTATTAATCTTCTTGCCTTTAGGGTTGTGCATCCATCCTGATTCCTGCAGGGATGTGGTCCTGTGCCAGCATCCTCAACCTCACACCACAAACCCACAGCCTTTGACTGCCACCTACGCCGGAGCCACCGCAAATCCCTGCTTCTCCCACCTCGTTCATCATCTCCTCTCCTCATCCCAGCCTTCTCCATGTGCTCCTCGCTGGATTTCTCCCTTCACAAGATCCCACTGCGAGGCTTTTCCCTGGCTCCCGACAGAGACTGGTGGGCGAATGGTTGGGATTTAACTTGGGCCACTTTGTTGTCCCCAAACAGTGAGATTTAACCACATTTAAACGACCTCTCTTCAGTCAGACCCTGCACGTGCTCCCCTTTATCACGGTTACATCGCATAAAGACACTATATTTTCCCAAGCAGCTGTAATTTGAACTGGAAATGGGATGTGTTTTGGAATGAGGTCGGTTTTGCAGGAGTTTGGGGTGGTTTGATAAAGGAAGTGGTGCTGCTTTATGGCCAGAGTGGGGATTGATACCCCACAGGCACTGAAGTGAGGTTGGTTCCCATCACTTGATACTTCCCAGTGGGTTATTAACCAAATACAGGAGAAATGGCTGGAGATGCTCTGGTTCCTCACACACACCACAGGATGAGGGGCAAGGAAAGCTGGGGACCGCTCAACCCTTTCCTTGGACCTTGCACCAACATGAGGCACAACCGTCATCACTTGCCATCACTCTGTGGTTTGGCCTGAAAAGGGGGAATTTGGGATGAAACGAGGACCCTTCCCCACCCCACCAAAGCTTTGTGGGTGTCTTTGCACTCCATGAATTCAGCCTGATCTCAAAGCAGCACTTACCAACACAAGCCCTTGGGGTGTTTCCCCTCCAGTGGGTAAGAAAGGATTTATTTTAGCTCTAGAAAGATGGAGGCTGAGTGGAGGGGCTTGTGCCCAGTTCTCCCGCTTCCAATCCCACTGCATCCAGGGAACCATCATCCATGTCCCTGAGCACCTTTTAAATGCTCTAAAGCAGCAAAGCCCCTTTGCCAAGACCCCCAAATGTTCTGTGCAGGGGTATTTTTCCAGCTGTGCTGGGGTTTGACTTCAGCAGTGTCACAGGAGCTGAGGCTTGGGAAACATATCCACCCTTCCCGGGATGGAACAGGGCAGGGAATGCTCATGGACTTGCTGTGACGGTGACGTTAACCGGGGGATCATCGCTGCCATCCACTGGTGTTGAGACTGGCTCTGGAGGTGCTGGGAGAGCCCCCAGTGCCACCAGGTGGGTGCTGGGTCACCAGAGTAGGTGGCTCAGCCTTTGGCTCACCCCATAGGTGCTGTTACCTGCTGCTGCACCCAGGGCTGATGGGTCTGCTGGTGCTGCTCCATCCTCCGTGGCTGTTTCAGCATCCTCCGGTGTGCCTGCGGGCTCCTGGTCACCGGGCCCGGCCCTGGAGTGGGGGACAAGCAAGGGTCTCACGGCGCTGGGTGCAGGAGCAATGGGGCAGCCCCATGGGGTTTGGGCACTCACATGCGGAAGAGCAGGTTGTGCAGCCCTGGGGACAGACAGACAGACATGAGGTGTGTGTGCCACGGTCCCCGTGATCCCCCCCAGCACCCAGCACTCACATGGGAGCGTGTCCCGGTGGCGGGCAATGCAGTGCACGGCCAGGAGCGATGCTGCAGTGGCCACCAGCATCCCCACCACCGCCGCCCCTGTCACTGCCGGGTAGGCCTCAAAGGGAGGCTCAGCTGGAAGAGAGCAGAGGGAGAGGGGGGAGTGTGGCAGGAGCAGCCCGGGAAGGCCGATGGATGCGGTCACCTGAGCCTGTTCACTCTGAAACCTACTGACGGCCGCTTGCGCTTTGCTCCTCAGCTCCACCAGGCTGCAACCATCGCCCATCTCCAACCCTGCTCTGCCCCACGGAGCAGCGCCCCAGCCCCCTTCACCTGGCGTCTGCACCTCGGAGGGGTGCCCGGCCGTGCGGTGGTTGACGGCCAGGATGCGGAAGGCATAGACCACAGCCGGGTCCAGCCCCCCGAGGCGCCGGTCGCGCGAGTGGGGCTCGATGTCACCGGCGGCCGTTTCCCAGGGCCCGGCCGCCCGCCGGGGGGGTCTCTTGGTTTGACGCCGCTGCACCACGAAGCCGGTGAGGTTCCCGGAGCCCTGTGTCCGCCACTCCAGCCGCACCTCGGTGCGCGCCCGCGTGTACCGCAGCCTGCTGATGGTGACGTTGGGGGGGGCCGGGTACCCTGTGGGGACACAGCACCCCTTAGAACGGGGTTAACCCCCCCCCCAAAACCCACCCACTGTGTCCCAGGGCTCACGTTCCACACGGAGGTGCACGGGGAGGCTGGCGGTGCCCACGGCGTTGGCTGCGGTGCAGCGGTAGATCCCGCTGTCCCCCGGCCACTCCACATCGTGGATGGTGAGGTTGAGCCACGCTTCTCCGCGCTCCAAGTGGTACTTGGCCAACCCCGCTGTCACCTCCTGCTCCTTCGGGTCATACCAAGCCATGCTGGCACCCAGGTTGGTGCCAGTGCTGCGTTGCCGGCATGCCAACCGTGCCGCACCGCCCTCCAGCACCACCACCTCGCTCCTTGCCACCTCCAGCTCGGGGACCTCTGCTCGGTGGTAAGATGGGATGGCACCAGCAGGGATGTGGCACCCAGCTGCTGACAGGGGCACCCAGGGATGGATCTTGGCTTACCAAGGCGCAGGCGGCACTCGGTGCCAGTGGCCTGTAGCGGGTGTGTGGCCACGCAGATGTAATCCTGCCCCCCCAGCCTGTTGCTGGTGCTCAGCACCACAACGGTGGTGGCGGGTGTGGGGTCACCTAGTGCCTGTCCCGCGCCATCCCACCAGCACAGGGTGACGGGGGGTGTCCCCCCCTCCCACTGGCACCGCAGCATCACGAACTCATCCCCCTTGGTGGCTGCTGCCGTGCAGGAGGGGCCGCCAGCCGGGATCCCTGCAAGAGGAAGAGGTGTTGGGATGGGGACTGTGATCTGTGCCCCCCAAAAGAGACCCCCTCCAAAGCCTGGGGGGCTCTGGGCTGTGGGACCTCTATTGTGGAGCAGGAGGTCCCAGCATGGCCTTGGTGTGCCATGTCCCACTATCGCAGGGCTCACCATGGCTTTGTGATGCCGGGGAGGGGGGGGGGACAGGAAGGATCTGTGGGGGCACTCACACAGGGTGGTCCCGCAGGCAGCCCCCTGCGGCAGGGCAGGGTGCGAGGCCAGGCAGGAGAAGGAGCTGCCATTCCTGGTGGCCGACCCCGGCTGGATGCTGGTGGCCATGGAAAAACTGCTCCCCATCACCCCCTGCTCTTCCTCCTCCTCCTCCTCGGGGCCCACCCAGCGCAGCCGTGCCGGGGGGAACCCCCCCAGCCAACGGCACCGCAGTGCCACGTCCTGCACGTCCCCGGTGGCCAGTGCAGAGCAGCTTGGGCTCCCGGCTGGTGGATCTGCGGGAGACCACCGGTGCTGGGGGGAGCCACATCATGTCCCTCCAGCCCCAAATCACCCCTTGCACCCACATCCTCACCAGGGAAGCCACGTTGGTCCGTCTCGCCCCTCTGGGGGTTACTTACAGTAAACAGTGAGAACGATGGTGGCCTGGGTGCGGGTTTGGAGATGGGTGTTCTCAGCCAGGCAGGTGTAGGTGCCGGCCTGGGTGCGGGTGATGGCAGCAAGGACGTAGGTCTGGCCAACGTGGACCTGGGAGCCGTTGTGGAGCCAGACGTAGCGGCTGGGCGGGTTAGATGGAGCCAGGCAGCTCAGCACCACGTCCTCGCGCTCGCCTGCGGAGAAGCCGCCCTGCTCCGGGCTGAAGGGCTCCACGCTGATGGCCGGCTCGTCGGGGCCGTCTGTGGGGACACGGGTGCTTGAGCAGGGTCACAGCCCACCCCAGGACACCAATGGGACATCCTGAGAGAAGGTGAGCACACTGGGGTGTGTGGTGGCCATGGGGCACTATGCGGGCATAGGACACTGTGCTGGCGTGGTGGCCATGGAGGTACCATGGTAGCAAGGTGCATGGTGGCCATGGGCACATCTCGGTGGCAGGGTGGCCATGGATGCATCATGGTGGCAGCATGCTTGTTGGCCATGGCCATATCGCAGTGGCCACGGAGGCATCCCAGTGGCAGGGTGCTTATGGCCGTGGACATGCCACGGGTGCACCATGGTCATGCCCGTGCCACGCCACACCACTCACAGACGATGTCCAGGTAGACAGGCTCGCTGGTGCGGTTGTTGACCTCGTTGCGCGCGGTGCAGATGTACCACCCGGCATGGCTGCGGTTGGTGGGTGCCAGGCTCAGCTCTGCCCCGGAGCCCCCCAGCCCCACAGGGGACACAGGAGGCCCCCCCCGTGGCTGCCGGTGCTGCCAGGAGAAGCTGAGCGGCTCCGTCCCCTCCCGCACAGCACACATCAGGGTCACCGGAGTCCCCTCTGCTGCCGCTGCCGCCGTCGGCCGTACAAAGGGCTTGGACACAGGCACTGTGGACACGGAGCAGTGAGTGGCCCCCCTGCACTCCCACATCTCCCCTGTCCCACCCAGAGGTGAGCCTTGCGGGTGGTGAATTGGCTGGTGAGGTGCAGTAGTGGCTACTGGGGAGGCTGGTGATAGCATCCATGGGCTATTGAGATGTGCTGGGAATAGGCATGGCCGGGTGTCCATTTGTGTTCTAATGAGGGCAGTTACGGGTTGGACCAATGATGGGTTGGCCAGGGCAAGGAGGTGGGGATGGCTAGTGGGGGGCTACATTGGCTAGTTGGGTACTTGGCCAGTGGGGTGCTGTGCTGGCTAGTGGGACTCTATATTGGCACGTGGGGCTCTATGCTGGCAGTGGCAGACCCCACTAGCCCGTGTGCTCCATCACCCCAAGCACCGTGCTTGTGCTCCATCACCCCAGCCATGCCCCGCGGCACCCACAGCCCCATGCCTTACCCAGGACACGCAGCAGGACGGCGCCGTACCCCACACGGAGCCGGCCGTGCTCCGGGAACAGCCCCTGGCACAGGAAGCGGCCACGGGCGCCCGCTCGCAGCTCCCGCAGCTCCAGGGTCCCATTGCGCAGCGAAACCCGGCCCAGCGTGCCCGTGCCAGGGGCCAGCACCACGTCCCGGCCTGAGCCCACGGCCACGGCCCGCGGTGGCCCCGTGCCCCCCGCCACGAAGCTCCAGAAGACCACGGCCGGCGGTGCCCGTGCTGGGGGCCCACAGCTCAGCTCCACCGCCCGGCCCCGCACCCCCGTCACCATCTGCTCCTCGTAGGCCGCCTCACCCGCAGACAGCGGCTGCCCTGGGATGCACTCATCAGAGTCAGCCTGGCTCTGCCCCACAGGGATTTGGGGGGGGATTGGGGAGGGGGGGGGGGGGGGGGTTGGCTACTCACCCCCCGCCAACGCCGGCAGCAAGCACAGGATCCAGGGACCCGTCCATGGTGCATGGTGGCGCTCCATGGCGCCATGTCCGATGCCGAAGCAGGGCTACGCTCTCCACCCCGACCTCCTCTCCTGTTACTCAGGGGTAATTAGGCCCAGCCCTGATTAACTGTTAATTATTGATACCCAGCCTGGGCACGGGCAGGGGGGGACTTACCGCTGCAATCTCAGGCTGAGGACGGGAGCGCTCGCTGCAGGAATGGCAGCAAAGCCCCTTTCCCCTGCAGGGAAAACTTATCCCTACCCCATCTCCCTAATGTGTTATTGGATAAAGGAGAAGGAAACCTGCTTTTCGCTCCTTCTTGATCAAAACCACGGGGTTTGGAGCCGGGGAAGCCGGCGCCAGGCAGTGAGCAGGGTTTGATATTACATCTCCTGCTGTCCAGCGCGCCCCAGCCCATCAAACATTCATCACTGTAATGCAATGCTGGAGGGCTGGAGCATCCCACGGGAGGATTTTGGGAGACACAGGAACCCGCTACGCCCCATCCCTAACGTTGGTATTCATATATACATTCTGGTGCTGGTGTGGGATGAGGCCTGGGAATTAGATTTAACGGGGATGGTGGCGGCAGATTCCTGCTGCCATCTAGGGGCAAGTGTTGGGCTTGAAGGAATTTCTTCTGGGCTGGTTCACAGAACCATTAAATCGTTCAGGTTGGAACCGACCCCAGCTGAGCCCTGGAGAACACCACGAGTGACTGGCCACCAACCGAAATTAACTCCGTTCACCACCACGCTTTGGGCCCGGCCATCCAGCAAAGAGAATCATGGATGGTTTGTGTTGGAAGGGACCTTAAAGCTTGTCCATTTCCAAGCCCCTGTGTCCAACCTGGCCTTGAACACTGCCAGGGATGGGGTAGCCACAGCTTCTCTGGGCACCCTGTGCCAGCACCTCAGCACCCTCACAGGGAAGAGCTTCTGCCTAAGAGCTCATCTCAGTCTCCCCTCTGGCAGGTTAAAGCCATTCCCCTTGGCCTGTCCCTACAGGCCCTTGTCCAAGGCCCCTCTCCAGGTTTCCTGCAGCCCCTTTAGGCACTGGAGCTGCTCTAAGGTCTCCCCTTCAGGAGCCTTCTCTTCTCCAGGCTCACCCAGCCCAGCTCTCTCAGCCTGGCTCCAGAGCAGAGCTGCTCCAGCCCTCGCAGCATCTCCGTGGCCTCCTCTGGCCTCACTCCAGCAGCTCAACGGCCCTCTCGTGCTGTTGCCCCAGAGCTGGATCAGGACTGAAGGGGTATTCTCCCCAGAGAGCAGCAGAGGGTCAGGACCCCCTCTCTGAGCTGCTGCTCACACTCTGGGGGTGCAACCCAGCATATGGGGGGTTCTGGGCTCAAGCACACACTGAAGCTGGGTCATGGGGAGCTTCTCCTCACCCAACACCCCACGTCCTTCTCCTCAGGCTGCTCAATCCAGTCTCCCTCAGCCTGTGGGTGTGCTGGGAATTATCCTGCACAGGGACAGGACCTTGCACTTTGCCTTGTTGAGCATCATCAGGTTCACACATTCCCACCCCTCTAGCCTGCCCAGGTCCTTCTGGATCCCATCCCTTCCCTCCACTGTGTCAACCACACCACCCACCTTGGTGGAACCCCCTTGCTCCGATGCAGAACGCAGCTTCCAGTGGAAAACTGGAGTTTGCCGCTTCCCTGCCCTCTAGACCCAGTTTTGAGGAGCATCATCCAGTGCTGAGATCCTCAGGGGATCATATCCACCAAGTGCCAGCTGTGAGAACCTCAGAGCTACACCAAGGAACAAAACCAAGGACAACACTGGCTGTAACTGCACTGTCTTCTCAAGCATCACAACAAAATCAAACAGCTTCAGGGAGTTCCAAGAGAACTGGGGAACTGTTTTCCCAGCAACTTAGCCTTGTTCGGAACCAAAACTAGGATCTGGCGAGTTTTCCTCACTCAGTTTTCCAGCTTCTCGATCTCATCCATGTCGCCCGGGTCCAGCTGCTTGATCTTGGTCTCTATAGGAAGGGAAAACAGAAACAAAATGTGTCAGAGCTTGGGAAAACGGGGCCCAGCGAGGGCAGGAGCTGGCGTTCACACTGCCTGCATGCACCGCGGGCTGGGAAGCTCCCGCCGCTGGGAATTCCATGGTGCAGATCAAGGGTGGCTGCTGCAGAAGCAAGAGGCAGCCCAAGCAAAAGGCAGCAGCTCAGGTGAGGTTTGAGGCTCTGCTCCCACCTCCGAGGCGATGCTGGATGGGAAGAGGGTCGTTGTCCTTGTTTGGCAGCCCCAGCCTCAAGTCACGAAGTCAAAAATGCAGGCAGGAGCTCATCCACTTGGATTTTCATCCCCTGCTGGGCTCCTCTGGCCAATTCCATGGTTGGACTAGGCCTCCTCAGTATTCCAGCTGCAGTTATCCAGTGCTTCTGCTGCTTGGAAAAGCCTTTGCCGGAGTATCTGGCTCACGTGTGCCCTGCCAGGCTCTGCCACGGGCTCCTTCGGGGTTTGGATTTAAAGGACAAGCTACCGGGACAGCTGGGCAGCACTGAGGAAGGGACGTGGTTTTCCACACACCGAAAGGTTTTGATAACCTGCTTTTCCCTAAAAATCACAGGGAAAACACACCAGGACTTGAAAAGCCACCAGTGCAGCCACAGGATTTTGCACATGCCATGAAAAACCCCCTTGATATTCCCAAGTGGAATCTACTTCCACTCAGGAAACACTCAGGCACCATTTCAGCTGCCAGCTTCAATACTGCAGCATGGACACCACATCCCTGGGATGCGGTTTTGCCAGGTAAGGGCAGATAAAATGCCTGAAGGAGGAAAAAGAAGCGATGTGAGGCATCCTGGGTATGTGAAATATCCCTCTCAAGTCACACACACAACTTCCTTGGCTGGTTGTCTGGAAATGTTGCTGCAAGGGAGGAAAAATCCCAACCCTAGAAGAGTGATGGGCTAAAGGGGCAGCCCAGCAAGGTCCATGTGAGCTGGGAAACAGGCTGGAGGGGGGATCCCAATCCCCAAACCACCCCAGGAGAGGTGGATATGGACGGATACTCACGGAAATGCTTCTCTATCATCTCCACGAGTCCCACGTCCTGGCTCTCCACCATGCTGAAGGCGATGCCGCTCTTCCCGAAGCGCCCCGTGCGCCCGATGCGGTGGAGGTAGGTCTCGAAGTCAGGCTCTCCCTGCAGGTTGGTGGGGAGGCTGAAGTTCACCACAATGGTGACCTGCTGCACGTCGATGCCTGGAAGAGGGAGACAGAGGGAGGGATCACCTCACCCTGTGGAATGAAGAACCAGAGGTGAGGTGAAGGGCGCTGGGATTTGGTGTACCTCTGGCACAGACATTAGTGGCAATGAGGACCTTCTCCTTCCCGCTGCGGAAGCGCTGGATGACGTTGGCACGATGGGCAACCGTCAGCTCTGCTGTCAGGATGGCAACCTGGTGTCCATCGTGGGTCATGGCCACTGCCAGCCAGTCGGCACTCCTCCGTGTCTGGGAGAGGCACGATGACGCAGGATGAGGTGCTGCTGTGGCTTTGCCAGCATCCCATCACTCCCAGAAGACATTCCACCGATATTCCCCTATCCCAAGTCCCCTGCTCCTTCCAGGGAGCGCCTTGTGCTTCCCAACACCTCAAAAAAAACATGTGGACAAGCTCAAAGCCTCTGTCAGGACACACTTTGAGGGCAGGGACATGTAGTGCGTTTCCATGTCACACATGGACCTCCCCGTGCTCCAAGGGGCTTTACCTGGCAGAAGATCATGGCCTGTCCGATGGTGATGCTGCCATAGATGTTGCAGAGAGCTTCGTACTTCTCCTCCCTGCTCCTGCACACAAAGAAGTACTGCCGGATGTTGCTGAGGGTGAGCTCGTCCTCCCGCAGCGTTATCATGATGGGGTTGGAGACGATTTTCTCAGCAAACTCCCGCACGGTTGACTTGAAGGTGGCCGAGAACAGCAGCATCTGGCAGCTCTTGGGGAGAACCCTGGGGAGAAGGAGAAGGACTTGTCATCCTGACACCTGGATGGACTCATTAGAAGGAGGGGAAAAGGCAATTTAAGGTGATTTTGTGCTGCTGTAAAGGCTCAAAGCAAAGGGAATTGTGACAAAAGTCTTGCTGGCTGTCCAATGGACATGGATTTACAGAGCCACATCCCTGGACTAAGCAAAGCACACACACAAACACCAATCTCATAGCAGCAAACCCCCTCCGCATCACAGAGACACTCTTCTGTTGCTGCTTCAGCTCACCCTGGGAGATGAATTCTCCCTCACTTCCCTTAAAGAGGGTTAAATCCATCAGGAACACCCACCTCTGGATGCGGATGCTCTGACTGGACAGGCCCTGCGTGTCGATCATAATGTCAGCTTCATCCAGCACGAAGAGGGTGATCTTCTTCAGGTCCACAACCTTCTGTTTGAAACACCAATCCAGCATCGTTCCCGGTGTCCCGATGATGATCTGCTCCTTTAGCACAGTGCCCTGCAGGACTGCCAGAGAGGAAATGACACCATGTCTCTCTTTCAGCTATCTCGGAGCTCCAGGAGGGGGTCCCAACGCTCCTATGGTGCCGGTGGCTCCAGGCAGGACTCACCTCGGTTCCCCCGGACCGCGTACGCCACCCTGATGTCAGCACAAAACCGCCCGATGCCCTCGATCACGCACCCGATCTGCAGCGCCAGCTCGTAGGTGGGAGCCAAGCAGAGGCACTTGGGGGGAAACAAAGAGCTCTCAGACTAGAAATACTTTGCTTAAAAGCCAAGGATACTCCCAGGATGGGATACAACGGGCAGACACGAGGGGCAAACAGGAAAATCCCACACTGCAACCCTTGAAAGTGCAGGGGGATTGGGAGTTGATCAGATCTGAGGTCAGGGAGCTGGGAACATGGCCCTGCCACAGGGACACAGACAGAAAGGAATCACTGTAACTCGTTCAGGGGGATATTCTGGTCTCCTGAAAGGTGGTGCAGCTCATTTCCATGCCCAGCTTTAAAGCAACAGCTTAAATCACCCCGTACACTGGAGATGAGTGGTCCCAAATGGCAGCAACCTGCTGGCACAGCAGGTTCTGCACGCAGGGGAGTGATCAGGGATCACGGGAGTGTTTAAACCACCAGAAACCCAGAAGCTTCTCCATTTGCTTTTCCAAATTTAAATTCCAGGCTATCTAATGCCTGGCAAGAAGTGCCTCCTTTCAGCAGGCACCACACCTTCTGTCCTACCTGCTGCTGCAATGGTACCTGTGGGTTCATCATCCCCTTCCAGCGGATAAAATCACATGGAAGCAGGGACAAACCCCTGGGATCTACCCCCAGGCAGCATTTCAGGGCTTGGGCAAACCCTCCTGCATCAGCTTTCCCTTTCCCTACGTTACCTGCGGGTATTTCTCGGTGGCATTAACTCTGCTCAGCATGGCCAAGACAAAAGCTGCTGTTTTCCCTGTCCCTGACTGGCTCTGGGCAATCAGATTTTGGGGCCTGCAAGGCAAAGATGGCTTAGAGGAGCGCGAGGGTTGGGGTGCCTCGAGGGAGATGGGGTTCACCACAGGGCATTGCTACTCACGGGTACGCCAGCATCATCGGCAGAGCTGTCTCCTGGATTTTGGATGGTCTGTTGAAGCCCATCATGTAAATACCCTGCAAAAGCTCCTTTTTCCTGTGAAAACATCAGAAAACCCATCAGAAACGGTCAGTTTGGGGAGTGCTGGTGACTCTGCTGGGACACACACACACACTCACAGGGGCAGCTCCTCGAAGCTTTTGATGGAGTAGAGTGGGGAGCTGGGGTCCCGCTGCAGGATCTCTACGTTGTGGCAGGACTCCACCAGGGATGTGCGGATCAGCTTGTTCAGCAGCGAGGTTTCGGCTGGCAACACTGGAAAAGGCAGGAGTTCATTAAAAGGGCCAGTGTTGTTTAGAGTTATCACTGACTGATGAGGGGATGGAGAGCACCCTCAATACGTCTGCAGATGACACCAAGTTGGCTGGGAGCATTGATGTGCTGGAGGGCAGGAGCCTCTGCAGAGGGAGCCGGACAGGCTGGATGGATTGGCTGTTACCGATGGGATGAGGTTCAACAAGGCAAAGCGCCGGGTCCTGCATTTGGGCCACAACCACCCCATGCAAGGCTCCAGGATCCCAAATCACGACTGTTAACACCGAGCTTGTCCCCTTCCCTGACACACAGGGCTCGGGCTGTCCCACCCCAGCAAAACGGGACCCCGACACCGCTGAGGTGGCGGTCTCTGCCCCCCGCTGCAGACATTTACCTCTCTCCTCCTCTTCATCCTTCTCTTCATCCTCCTCCTCGTCGCCTCGTCCAGCTGTGGGAGGAGAAGCGGGGTTGAGGCGGGCGTGCCGGCCGGGCCCTCCCCGAGGCGGGGCCGGGTCCGGGGCCAGCGCTCACCGCGGCGCCGCAGGAAGGGGTCCCGGCAGCGCTGCGGGGTGCAGGGCGCGGGGAGGCGCCGGGAAGTGGCGGTGGATCCCGGCGGGAAGACGGAGGGAAGCGGCAGCAGCCCCGCGGGACCGGCGCGGCCCAGCCCGGCCTCGCAGCCGCCGCTGTCCCCAGCCTCCGCCATGGCGCCCGCCCGGCACCGCTCCTGAGGCACCGACGCGGGGAGACGCGCCCCCTGGCGGGCGGGAGGAGCGCGGGAGGAACCGGACGGGGCAGGCGCTTCCGGGGCACCGGCACCGCAGGTAGGACCGGGGACGTGGGCCCCGAGCGGATGGGGTTCGGGGCGAGAGGAGCAGGGACCTAGCAGGGCATCAGGAGGTCCCTGGGGTGATGGGGGGGCACAGACTGACCCATGGAGGGGGTGGAAATGGGGCACTGGGGACAGGGACCCCGTAAGGTGGTGGCACTGTTCCCCGCAAGGTGTTGCAGGGGTCCCTGGGGTGCTGGGGACAAGGACCCTATAGGGTGCCAGCACTGCTCCCACAGGGGTTTTCTGGGGATCCCTGGGGTGCTGGAGGAGCAGGGACAATGTAGGGTGGTAGCACTGTCCACGGGATTTTGGGGGGGATTCCCTGGGGGGCTGGAGGAGCAGGAACCCCATAGGGTGGGGGACAGGGACCACATGGGGTGCCAGCACTGCGCCCCACAGGGTTTTGGGATGTTCTTAGGGTGCTGGAGGAGCAGGGGCCTTGTGGAGTGGTGTTGCTGTTCCTCATCAGGTTTTGGGTGGGTGCCTGGGGTACCAAAGGAGCAGGGACCCTGTAGGGTGGTCGCAGTGTCCCCCATAGGGCTTTAAGGGGTCCCTGGGTGCTGGGCATAGACATCCCTCCATCAGGGGGTTCCACAGGGCACTGGAGCATGGGGTGCCAGAACTCCTCAGTGTGGGGTGACAGCAGGGTGTTCTTCATCCCCCACCCCAGAGCAGGTTTTAGGGACCCGACATGGGGCTCCCATTGTCACCTGCTTCAAATCCCATGCCCTCCTCCAGCCGTTCCCCTGAGGTTTTGGGGACCTCTACTGCACAAATCACCAAACTTCTGGAAATATGGGGGGGAAACCAGGAAAATCATGAGGATCATGTTGGGTTTAATTCCCCCTAAAATGTGTTTTAGAAACAAGGTAAAGTGGGGCTAAGTGAGACACAAAGATGAGCCTGGAGTAACAGGTACAGGCTGAGGGGGTGAGGAAGCATCTCTAATTAACCCACAGGACAATAAGGAATCTTTCCACACACTTTATTAGAGATATTGCCATAAATAAAACCTCACATAAGAACCCAGGAGCACTCAAATCCCAAAGATCCTTACATCCTGATTCCTAATGCCCCGAACCTGAACTCAGGAGGAAGCTTTTCCCTCTGCGCCAGGTGAAGTTTTAATACCAGGATTTAACCCTCTAGAAATGCGTAAAAAAAGGGAGATTTACCAAATTATCAAGGATTTTGAGGGGAAAAATGCATTCAATGTGTTGTGGTTCAGAGGTATCTATATGGAGCGGGCCTAGGTGGAGGTGGCTTTCCTGGGAATGAGGCCGTTGGCCAGGTCCCAGCGCACTTCCCAGCGCAGGGCAGCTCTCTTCTTCTCAGTGGGCACCGTGTAGGTGTTGGGGACATAGAGGTGTCGTGGCTTCCCGGGAAGCTCGGCCTTGCAGAGCATCTGCTCCCGGATGCTCCAGCGCAGTTCCTGCCGCTGATCCTCTCCCGGGATCCGGAACTTCTCCCATTCTCGTTTATACTCAAAGTATTTGGCCACTCGGTCGGTTTTCCCCCTATTCCGTCCCAGCAGCTCTAGCCGTGGTGGGATGAAGGATTTGGGTTGTCCTGCTGAGTACTGAGAAACAGGAGAGCTCCTGCTCCCGAAATCCCCAAGGAGAGAGGGGGAGCTGTCCAGAGGGAGCCACTGGCACAGAGATTCATCATGGGAGCTGCTGCTGGTCTCAATCTCCCCCTCAGAGATGCTGTCGTCTGGCTCAGACAATTCCTGCCTGGGGCTCCAAACCCCGGGATCGCTCTCGGGCTCGCCGGGCACTGACTCATCAGACACCTCCACTCCGCCATCAGGTCTGCGCCTCAGCACCTTCCTTTTCATGACCAGCCTCCTGCCTCCTCTCTGCTCCTGTGAACATCGAGGAGAGCCTGGCTGTGTTCCCAAAGTGAGGGAGGCATCGACATAGGGATCGTGGTGGGGGTGTGCCCACAGCTTGCTGCCTCCACGCTGGGGGTACCGCACTGCAGCTGGCGGCTCCTCAGCATCCAGAGTGGTCCATTCATACCTGTCTGCTCCCATTGTATCCATGATTTTCACCAGATTGGGTGGATTCTGCAAAGAAACAGTAAACCAGAGTTAATTCCTTGCAGCACTTGGAGCTGAAGACATAAAGTGGGCTCTGACACTCAGCTGCTGAATATCCTGCTGCGAGCAGAAGGCTCTTCACCTACAGCAGTGCAGATATAAACCCCTCACATCCACAAGGAAACCCCCAAATTCCAGCTTGGAAATAGCACTGAAATTAATTCAGTGATATATAAGGTACTAACAGGATGATGGACAAGCACAGGGTGGATTCAGTTTGCTGTCTAATAGATTTTCCCCTTGTACCTGCTCTTAAAAACATGGAATTGAGTCATGATTTAATCCAGGGACGGCCAAGAGGATTTTACTCCCACAGAAGAAAAGGCTCATTGCAGCCCAAAGGCTGAGTGTGATTATGGTATTCCTCAGGAGCTGTGCTGAAAAGGGATCTGGAGACAGATTCCAGTCGTGACACAGGTTTAGGATGACTGGTTTGGAAAAGAGAGAAGGAAAACTCCAGTTTGAAGCGTGCTGTTATGAAATGCTGGAGCAGATGGTGTGGTGAGATGAGTGGCAGGTGTTAGCGAGCTGTCTGGTGTGGTGGTGCTGGCTCAGCGTGCTGGGGAATGGAAAAGGCTCCACCATGGTGTGGATAGCACAAAGCCAGCTGGGAATGCTGGATCCCACAGAACAGAGGTTAAAACAATAAATTCCGTGGGCAATGATTATTTCATAGAGCAAAGTTACAGATGTGATAAAGCCACATAAAAATGTGATTTCCTTCTTTGCAGAACCCGAGGAGTCCTCAGCAGCTACCGAAGGCTCCAGGACTATGGCTGAGGGCAGCACGGCTGCTGATCAGGATCAACTCTTGAGAAGGGTGCAGGAGCTGGAAGAGGAGGTGAGGAGGCTGCGGGAGAAGCTGCGAGAGGATGAGGAGGGCGCTGGGAAACAAGAGGCTCCATCAGCCCCAGGGAAGAGCAAGAAACGCCAACAACGGCCGTTTGATTTCGGAGCCTATGGCCGCAGACACGTGGCACTGAAGATCTCCTACCTGGGCTGGGGCTACCAGGGCTTTGCCAGCCAGGAGAACACCACCAACACCATCGAGGAGAAGCTCTTTGAAGCCTTGAAGAAGACACGGCTGGTAGATGACAGGCAGACATCCAACTACCACCGCTGCGGGCGGACGGACAAAGGAGTCAGTGCGTTTGGACAGGTCAGTATCCCCCCCTGCTGGAGCTCTTCCTGGGTTTCTGGGCTCCTGTGGGATTAATGTCTTCTGAGCCAAGACATGGGTTGGATTTATTTTTCTTTAAAGCCAGAAGCTTTAAAAGTGAGCCTGGTGCTGGCTTCCTGCATACAGGATGGTGATTTTTGACCCTCAGAATGTTTATTAGCATTATTTTTTCCAGGGGGCTGTTTTAAGAGGATGAAACATGGTTTTCAGGCTGCAGCTTCCCAACAGCCAAGAAAGAGAAGATGCCCCTTCCTTGCAGAGCCCTGGCAGCTGATTTAACTGGCTCACCCTAACAAAAAATGAAATTGAATCCAAGAATTGGATCTCTTCCTGTGGAGCCAGGCAGCCCAATTCCTGCGCAGAAGGGTCTGGGGGTAGCTGGAGCGGAAGGGAGCGTGGGAGAGGGAGGGAGTGAAGCGATGGCTTCGCCGCCAGGCCAGTCTCTCCTTCCCTCCTGGCTTGGGAATTGGAGCCAGCTCAGCTTTTGCTTCAGATGGGCTGTCTGCTCTCCTTCATGGGATGAGCCACATGGAATAGGGCAGGGGCCGGCTTTCCTTGTGCTGTTTGAAGCATGCAAGCACCTGCAGTGTTCATTAACTTGCTCCCACAGCAGGTTTCCCAGGCAGCCAGGCTGTTACTGCCTTAAACCATCACCTCCAGACAAAAAAAAAATAAGTGAAATAATAAAAAAGCACATTATATCCAAAAACCAGGGCCTAAAGTTGAAGCAGATTTGAGCTACGTAGGCAGCCTGCAAGTTTCTGTGTTATTAAAGGAATCTGTAGCATCTGCTGGGAACCTGAGCAGAGGCAGCTCTTCCCGCAGGAAGGAGTGGGGAGATGGCCCCATTTGAGACACCTTCCTCTGGAGGAGATCCTGAATTTATTTCACAGTGGTGTAGGAAGACTTGGCTCCCCAGAATACACCCATCTGCCATTTCATCCTGGCATTCCTCGTTTTGCAGGTGATCTCCCTCGATCTCCGCTCCAACCTGCTGGAGGGGCAGAAGCTCAATGGCCACAGGGGTGCCTCGGAAGGGAAAAGCGAGGAGGAGCTCCGCTACACCCATATTCTGAACAGGGTGCTCCCACCTGACATCAGGGTGCTGGCCTGGGCCCCCGTGGAGCCTGAATTCAGTGCCAGGTTCAGCTGCCTCAAGAGGACCTACCGGTACTTCTTCCCCTGCGCCAACCTGGACGTGGGGCTCATGCACGCCGCGGCCCAGAGGTATGTGGGGACGCATGACTTCCGTAATCTCTGCAAAATGGATGTTGCCAACGGGGTGGTGAACTTCCAGAGGACGATCCTGAGTGCTGGAGTGACATGGGTTGAAGGAGGAGGAGGAACAGGCCCACAGGATCCCTTCCATCTGTGCCAGTTTGAGGTGACAGGCCAAGCGTTCCTCTATCACCAAGTGCGCTGCATGATGGCCGTCCTCTTCCTCATCGGCCAGGGGATGGAGAGCCCAGAGGTCATTGACGAGCTGCTGGATGTGGAGAAGAACCCTCAAAAGCCACAGTACAGGTATGGGAAGCTTGGGAAAACTTGCTGGGCTGCTTCTTGAGGCGATGGCTGTGTGTGAAGTGCTGCTGGCAAGGCAATTCTCTGCCAGCCTGCAAAGCAGTCTCTCACAATATGGAAGCAAGCTGCCAGCGGCCTCTCCGGGAGGTATCCATAAGGATCTCAGTTTTGTTGCTCTCAGACAAACTTTATGGCTTTAGTCCACGGTATTTGCTAAAAGCTAATTCAGTTTCTAAAGGCAAAGGGAGTTCTGTAAAAGACATGGCTGCTTTTGGCAGAGGGCAGGGTGTTGTGTGAGCCTTTTCTGTCACAGATCCCTCCAGACAGTGACAGCTAACACTTCCCTCCTCTTCCCCAGCATGGCAGTAGAGTTCCCTCTCGTCCTGTATGACTGTGAGTTTGAGAACATTCAGTGGCTCTACGACCAGGAGGTACAGGAGTTCAATGTCACACACCTGCAGCAGCTCTGGGCCAGCCATGCCGTCAAAACCCAAGTGCTGCGCAGCATGTTGCAGGGGTTAGATGCTGCTCCCGTGGCTACAGGCAAAGGTAAGGGGTGGGTTCGTGGCAATATCTGGGTCAGGGCAATCCCAGGCACAGTTTTGATGGAGAAGTGGTTCAGAGCAGCCCTGAGAAGCACTTTTGGGTGTTGGTGTATGAGAAGCTCCCCATGACGCAGCTTCAGTGGTAGTTTGAGTCCAGAATGCCCCACCTGCTGGGCTGCATCCCCAGCACATGAGCAGCTCAGGGAGGGGATGCTGCCCCTCTGCTGCGCTCTGGGGAGACCCCTCCTGCAGTCCTGATCCAGCTCTGGGGCAGCAGCACAAGAGGGACGTGGAACTGTTGGAGCAAGGCCAGAGGAGGCCATGGAGATGCTGTGAGGGCTGGAGCAGCTCTGCTCTGGAGCCAGGCTGAGAGAGCTGGGCTGGGTCAGCCTGGAGAAGGCTTCTTAAGGGGAAACCTTAGAGCAGCTCCAGTGCCTAAAGGGGCTTCAGGAAACCTGGAGAGAGGCCTTGGATAAGGGCCTGTAGGGACAGGCCAAGGGGAATGGCTTTAACCTGCCACAGGGGAGACTGAGATGAGCTCTTAGGCAGAAGCTCTTCCCTGTGAGGGTGCTGAGGCGCTGGCACAGGGTGCCCAGAGAAGCTGTGGCTGCCCCATCCCTGGCAGTGTTCAAGGCCAGGTTGGACACAGGGGCTTGGAGCAACCTGCTCTAGTGGAAGGTGTCCCTGCCTGTGGCAGGGGGTTGGAGCTGGATGATCTTTAAGGTCCCTTCCAACACAAACCATTCCATGATTCTATGAATATAATGGAATTACAGAGGGATGGGTTTTGAAGAAGGAGAGAGGAGTGAATTAAGTAGATTGTTCAAACCACGGGTGTTGTTTTCATTGCATCACAGGTGAGGAGAGCAGCAGCACCATCCTCTGGGCAGCCCGGCAGCCCCCTCTCTGCCGCCAGGCCAGTGGCTTTGTGGAAGGTGTCCGAGCCCGCACGTACAGGCCTTTGCTGTCCCGTCCCAAGTGCGAGGGGCTGGAGGCCCGTATCCAGCACTTTGTGCAGAGGGGCCGCATCCAGTCCCCCCTCGGGCTGGAGCTGGAGGGGGACAGGGACCAGCAGCCCCCTGAGAGCAAGAGGAGCCACAGCAGGGATGTCCAAGAGCAGCCTCCCAAGCGGGTCTGCGTGGATATGGAGTGATGGTGACGGGTCACCTCAGCAAGAGAGCATCTCAACCCTTTGCCTTTTCATACAATTGGTAAAAATATGCCATTTTCTAGTGCTATTTTTATAAATATCAAGTAAAGCCACATTTGTGTGTGTCTGGTTCTGGGCTCCTCAGTGCAAGAAAGACAAGGAGCTGCTGGAGAGGCTCCAGTGGAGGCCACAGGGATGCTCAGGGGTCTGGAGCATCTCTCTGATGAGGAGAGATTGCGGGAGCTCCTGGAGAAGAGCAGCCTGAGAGGGGATCTCATGAATGCAGATCAAGAGCTCCAAGGTGGGTGCCAGCAGGATGGTGCCAGACTGTTTCCAGTGGTGCCCAGTGACAGGACAAGGAGCAACGGCCATAAACTAAAACCAAGTTTCACCTCAACGTGAGGAAGCACTTCTTCCCGTTGAGGGTGTGAGAGCACTGAACAGGCTGCCCAGGCCGGGTGTGAAGTCTCTATAGAGACATCCAAATCCCACCAAGGACCCGTTCTTGTGTGACCTGCTCTGCCTGGCCTTGGGCTGGGTGATCTCCACGGGGTTCTTCAAGCCTAATGGTTCTGTGGAACGCCAAGGAACGCGGCTGTGCCCCCCGGGGGCAATGGTGGTGCCTCAGCCCCCTCACAACACCGAGGCGACCCCAGCCCGCCCCCCCCCTCCCCGCGGTACCTGTGAGGGCCCGGCCGCTCCCGTGCTCCCTTCGCGACCGTTACCGGCAGCAACAGCCGCCGCGCTTCAAACCGCCGGAGCTGAGGCGGACCCGTCCGCTGAGGCCGCCCTACGCGGCGACACCATTGGGCGGCACAGCTCTCGCTCAGCTCGATGGCCCCTTCCGATTGGGCAAGCGGGCTGAAGGACCGCCCCCGCGCTACTGCCATTGGCCGGTAAAAAGGCGAAGGGAAGGAAGAAGGAGGAAGAAAGATGGCGGCGGCCAGCGGCTCTGCGCTGCGGCGGAGCGTGGCGGGCCTGGCCCGGGAGGTGCGCACCTTTTGCGGTAGCGGCAGCAGGCGGGCAGCAGCGGCGGCGGAGGAGGAGAAGAAGAAGGGGCCGGTGCGAGCTGAGCATCTGGCGGAGCGGCTGCGAGAGCGGAAGAGGGAGGAAAAGCAGCGAGAGGTGAGCGGGGCGGGGCCCTGAGGAGCGGGACTCTAGCTCCTAGCGTGCACCGCGGTCACACGTGCGGTGCAGGCCGGCGCTGTGGGAGCCCGGAGCCCGTTTGTCCCTCAGCGCTCTCGGTTCCTTGTCTCCTCAGGTCCCTAGAGACCCCGCGCAGAGGCGAGTGCGGGAGCTGGCCATGCTGAGCGCGGGGCTGCAGCACGTTCACCCCAACGTCCTGGCCAAAATGCTGAAGCAGGCAACAGTGTACCAAAACGAGGAGATCGTGGTGATCAACAAACCCTACGGGCTGCCTGTGCACGGTGAGGGGCAGCTGGCCATGTCTGCAGCGGTGCCGTGGGGTGGCAGTGGCCTGTATGACACTGGCAGGGGAGCCCCTGTCTCAATCATAGAATCACAGATTGGTTTGGGTTGAAGGGACCTTGAAGCTCACCCAGTTCCAACCCCCTGCCACAGGCAGGGACCCCTTCCACTAGAGCAGCTTGCTCCAACCCCTGTGTCCAGCCTGGCTTTGAGCACTGCCAGGGATGGGGCAGCCACAGCTTCTCTGGGCACCCTGTGCCAGCGCCTCAGCACCCTCACAGGGAAGAGCTTCTGCCTAAGAGTTCATCTCAGTCTCCCTTGTTTCAGTTTGAACCCATCACCCCTTGTCCTATTGCTACAGTCCCAGCATCCTTATAGCCCCCTTCAGACACTGGAAGCTGATCTGAGGTCTCCAAGCAGCTTCTTTTCTCCAAGCTGAACAGCCCCAACTTTCTCAGCCTGGCTCCAGAGCAGAGCTGTTCCAGCCCCCTTATCATCCCCATGGCCTCCCTGCACTGGGAGGGATGTCACCTTTAGATCCCAGCCTCCATCTCACGCTCTGGGAGTAACTTAGAGTACATGGGAGGTGAACATTCCCCCTGACTGCTTTGCCCATGGGTTGTGCAGGTGGCCCTGGGATCAAGAATTGTATCACTGATGTGCTGCCAATTTTGGCCAAGATGCTGGAGAACATGAAGGCTGAACCCCTCCACCTCTGCCACCGGCTGGACAAGGAGACCACGGGTGTGATGGTGCTGGCACGGAGCAAAGAGGCAGCAGACAGGATCCGGCTTCTCTTCAAGACTCGTCAGGTGGAGAAGATTTACTGGTAGGAAACGTTTGGGTGGACAAGTGGCTCTGAAGGGGCCGTAGGGTTTGAAGAAGAGGTGAAGGGATCGTCCCCAGGGTGTGTTGTCGAAGTGGTGGCTTGTCTTCTTTACCCACCTCTTTAGGGAGAAGGGATGAGGGGAGGGATCCCTTCATGCTAGAGCAACACCCACAGACCTCTGCTTTCCCTCCCCAGGGCAATCAGCCTGGGGGAGCCAGACCCCACTGAGGGCATCGTGGACATCCCCATCTTGGAGAAGGAGGTGCAGAGCCACCAGTCGCACTACAAGGTGAGCCATACATCCCCTCAGCCTCACACTCCCCGTCCCCAGCTCTTTCCTTTGCCTCCCCATGGGCTCACCCTGTTGTCACTGCTCAGAGGACGCTGGCCCCCAGCTACCGCATTTCTCCAGAGGATGGGAAGGTGGTGAGAACCCGGAGGAACCGGAGCGCCGAGAGCGCCGTGACACGGTACCGGCTCCTGGCCAGCTCTGCTGCCTGCTCGCTGCTGGAGCTCCAGCCCATCACTGGTGAGGCCTGGACGGGTGGCCCCGCATCGTGTGAGCTGCTTTCTGTGTGGCTGTGCAGCCAAGAGCAGTGCTGGAAGTGGGAACTCGTTGTTACATAATGAGAATCCTGTTTGGGAAGGATCTGGGAATAATCACATGAGCAGCAGTCAAAGGAGGGGATTCTCCCCCTCTGCTGCACTCTGGGGAGGCCCCCCTCCCCCTGCAGCCCTTATCCAGCTCTGGGGCAACAGTGTTCAAGGTCAGGTTGGATGGGGCTTGGAGCAGCCTGCTGTAGTGGAAGGTGTCCCTGCCTGTGGCAGGGGTTGGAGCTGGATGAGTTTTAAGGTCCCTTCAACAGAAACCATTACACAACTTTAATAAGCCATCCCTGGGCATTGGTTTGCTGCTGGGTCACTCTGGGTGGTGGATGGGAGCTGAGGCCTGGCACAGCTGGTTGTCATGTTTCTCCTCTCTCGCTTTCCTCCTCAGGGGTGAAGCACCAGATCCGGGTTCACCTGGCCTATGGCTTGGGCTGCCCTATCCTGGGGGATCACAAATACTCCCACTGGAGCAAGTTGGCACCTCAGGTAAGGCAGGTCCAGTGCTGGGTGGGCAGCCAGAGCCAGATCCACTTGCAGCAGCCCCTGTGTGTTTCCCAGCTCCCTGTGGGCTGGGGTTTCGAAGAGCTGGGGTTATAGAAAGGACCTTTTCTATCCTCACCACAGAAGCTTCCTAAAATCACCTTGAAGAGGCTGAAGCTGGAGCAGAGCAAGGCTCGCCACCTCCCGCTCCACCTGCATGCCCACCGGCTCTCCCTGCCCCTGGGCGAGCGGCTGGACCTCGTCTGCAAACCACCCCCCTTCTTCCACAAGACTCTGAGGAACCTGGAGCTGGACTTTGCCAAAGATTAACAGGGCAGGAAGGGAGAGGTGGCATGGATCTCCACATCCCTGGCATGTATAGTGCGGCAGCGGAGTCCACCTTGGAGACAGCGGTGAGATGAAGTCCACAGTCCCTGCTGCTTACCAGGTACCTGTGGGTGCTTCTTGCCCTGATTTGGTGCAGGAAAGCAGCTGGGCACACTGAAGAGACACTAGTTTGGTCAAATGAGGCTGTGTAGAAACTGGGCTTTGCCCTGTCGTGGTTGGAACTTGTCTCTGAGCAATAAATGGTCCTGTTGGTGCCAAGGTGAAGGGCTTTGTGTCTCTGTGCTTGGTCCCGGGCAGGTTTGATTGGTGCAGTCCCATTTGAGGACTGTCACTCAGCCTTCCAGAGCCATTTAGAGTTTCTCCTTCCTATCCTGGCACTCTGTGCTCCTATTTGGAGAGTCCCTTCCTTGGAAAATCCATGGAAAGCGCAATTTGGCAGCGGCTGGGCTGGGAATTCCTCTGCTTGGCTTGGCTGCACAGCTCCTGGACTCCCTTTGCAGTGTCAGTGCTGGTTTTTGGGCACAGAATATGCTGCTGGGAGAGACTTTCCTGTCCCTCTGCGCCTTCCAATTCCCCTGTTGATTCTAGATCCCGTTATCAGCATCCTTCTCCCTCGGGAGCTGCCTCAAAGGCAGATTCCTTCCCCTGTGCCCCAAGATTGAAAAGCTGAGGAATGGCAGCACCAGCATTTGGTGTCTCTTGGCCTGTCCCCAAAGCACAAGTTGGTTTAGGTGCTGGAAAAGGCTCTTTGTCGCCTGTGGGGCTACCGCATACCTTGTTGGGGTGTCTCAGTAGGGTAACACCTTGTGCCCTGCAACCCTGTGCTTCAAGTGGGAAAAAATAGCTGAGGACCCCCCACCCTCCTCAAAAGCACCCAGAAATACATCTGCTTATGAGAGAGGGATGCAAAACCACAAAAAGCTGGGCTGGAATTCCGCCTTCCCAGCCTGCTGCCACGGCTGCCTGGGGGTTTTGTTTTCTATTTCAGGATGTGCTGTTTGGGAAAAGGCTTCCCCCTGTAATTACCAGTGGATTCAAGGCGGTGTCTGAGCTCTCATCCCAGCTGCCTGGTAGGGATGGCTTGGCAAGAGATGCCTCCAGCCCTACAAAGCCACTCCTTGAGCTGGGCACACCTCGGACGACACCAGAGCCCCCAGGCAGCAGCAGCAGCAGCAGCACCATCGTCTCCTCTTCCTCCATACAAAGATGTCCCTCTCGCACACAGCCGCTGAGTACATGCTCTCCGATGCTCTCCTCCCAGATCCCGGTGGATCCCGATCCAAGGGCCTGCGGCTGGAGCTGCCCAGCGATCGCCTCCTGAAGTTCATCACTGTGGGGCTGCCCCTCTTCCTCGTCTCCCTCGCTTTCGCCCGGGAGTTCTCTGCTGGTGAGTCCTGGTTTTTGAATGGGAATCTTTAGGATACGGTTTGGTTGTCGCTGGGAAACACTTGTGGTCTCAGCGATGCGGCTGTGGTCCGAGGTGGGGCAGCCTGGAAATGCTGGTTCAGGAATCGTTCTGCCTCAGGGATGTTTATTGATTGGTTTTAATGCATTATTGGTTGCTGGGGAAGCTGGGAACAGCCGTGCTAAACCCCAGCACCAGTGGTAGATCAATGCCCCACCTCAGCTGCTTGCCCCCAGCACCTTTGGGTGTTGCTGGTGAGGAGGAGGAGGGTGGTGGCAGGGCAGCGCAGAGAATACATCCCACAGGAATCATAGGATGAATCACAGACTGGTTTGGGTTGGAAGGGACCTTAAAGCTCATCCACAGGCAGGGACACCTTCCACTAGACCAGGTTGCTCCAAGCCCTGTCCAACCTGGCTTTGAACACTGAAGGACAGCACAAAGGGTTTCATTGATGGAGCGTTGTGACCTCAGGCTAAATCTGGCCTTGGCCAATGTCCTGCTGCTGCCTGTGAGGGTTTGGTTTGACTTTGGTTTCTGGCTGCTTTCTAACTGCCCCACAGTGCTCAAAGAGTCTGTGTTTGGGAAGTGATGGAAAATGCAGCAGTGGGGAAGGACAGCTACAAAATGACTCGGAAAAAGGGGGTTTTGTAATTCCAAGTAATGCCT